AATGTAATTCCAATAAAAATCCCAACAGGGCTTTTCATTGAACTTCACAATATAATTCTAAACATGTGTATACATATGTGTACATGTGTTTACACACACACACAGATTTATTATAAGGTATTGGCTCATGCAATTATGGAAGCTGAGAAGTCCTAAGATGCTGTCTCCAAGCTAGAGGCCCAAGGCCAGTGGAGCAGGTGGTGTAGAGGCCCAATAGCCAGAGAGCAGGTGGTATAGATTCCAAAGGCCTGAGAACCGGGAGAATTAAGGGGAGAAGATCAATGTCTCAGCTGATAGAGTCAGACAAAAAGGAAGCGAATCCTTCCTTTCTCCCCTTTTTTGTTCTACTCAGGCCCTCAAATGATTAAGTGATGTCATCCACATTGAGGATGAAAATCTCCTTTACTCAGTTTATTGATTCAGATGCTAATCTCTTCTGGAAACATCTTCAAAGACACACCCAGAAATAATGTTTAGCTAGATAGCTGAGGATCCTGTGATCCAGAGTTGATACATAAAATCAACTATCACACATACCATCTGCATATAGATGTTGACTCCCCTTCAATTTTTCATGGATTCATTGCAATTCCAATAAAAACAATCTTTAGATTGTAAAGTTCAGTGAAAAGATGATGAAATATGGCTTTAGCAGTATAATCGTGAAGACAAACAATCAAACAATGACTAACAAAAGGTAGGAGGGGTCCAAGTCAAAGCACACGTGGGCCAATTCAATTCATTGAGCTTTATATGTGCAAGAGAAAGGAACAATAATAGCCAAGACTTCCCTGGAAAAGATGATGGTGTCTGGGTGGTGATATGGATGTGGGAGGGCAGGGTATCTGCCATTGCAAATATCAAGACATTATACAAATATAGCAATTGAGACAGTGTAATATTGACACAGGAGAAACAAATAGACCAGTAGGACAGAATAGACAGCACAAAGGTACATCCATGCAAAAAGAAAAAAAAAAAACCCTGATCTATGATTATGGTTGCATGGTAGATCTGTGTAGAAAGGACGGGCTATTGATAAACAATCTTAGAACAGCTGGTTATCCCCAGCACTCACTATAAGCAAAAGTCAGCTTTATATGTATTAATTACTTTAAAACGAAATGTGCATAAGTTTGTCTGCAAAATCTCATTTCCACTCCTAATGAGAAAATCAAGATGGGAAAAGAAATGGTGGATTAACAAATAAAGCTCACTTACTCTCTACCTCTTACAGGGTATATTAGGTTTCTCTTGCTACCATAACAAATTAACACAAATTTAGCAGCTTAAAACAACATAAATTTATTATCTCACAGCTCTGTAGGACAGAAGTCCCTGCTTCTTTGCTGTCAGCTGAGGGTAATTCCCAGTTTCTAGAGGGTGCCCATATTCTTGGCTTGCGGCCCCCTCTTACATTTTCAAAGCTAGCAATGAAGGGATGAGTCCTTCTCATGTATATTTCTCCTGCCTTCCCCTCTGCCAAATCTCTAACTCTTTTGCTGCCTTCTTCCATCTTTATCCCCCTATATCAAGGTTCCTTATATTAATCAGATATGCAAACCCCCTTCTGCTATGTAATGCACCATATTCACAGTTTCTGGGGATTAGGACACGAATATCTTGCAGGGAGAGATTATTATTCTACCTACCACATAAGGAAACCGAGGTTGCTTCATGTCTGCACAACCACTGTGTGGCTTGAACATCTTACACAGTGCTTCAGCCCAGCAGGCAAGGGTGAAGCAGGGACTAGGTAGAAAATATCCCCTAACTTCTTCTCATGTCCTGTCTGCTTGCCTGTACTTAATAATTGGGTTTTCTGTACCAGGATTTGGGAGGTTGAACCAGACAGGGGAGAGGAAGGATTTTGAATTGATTTCCTAATATCCAACACTCATCTAACAATTGGAACAAATGCCTTTCCTCTGCCTATTTTCGGGAAGTTTAGGGAACAGATACAAAGGGAAGAAGAGGAAAGAGGAAAGTGGGAGCAATAATGTGAATCCATTAAAAGAAAAACAGCACGTTTCCCCCTTCATAAGAACTCAATCCAAGAAGGCTCCATATTTGCGGTAGGGGTGAAAGAGAGGAAAAGCCTGGCTCATTTGAGTCATTTATTGGATGTCATTATGTATCACACACAATGCTACGTGATTCCACAAACCTTTCTTAATTCTTTAACCTATTTAATACAGGTGTGTAGTTATTACACTTGAAATGAGGAAACTCAGGCTCACAAATGTGGTCATGTACCTAAGGGAACAAGTGTCAGAGGTACATATAAACCTAGATATGCTGGCTACCCCAGTCCAAGAAAATTTCCTCTCTCTCACTGCATTAGTACATTCTCACGCCGTCCATAAAGACATATCCAAGACTGGATAATTTATAAAAGAAAAAGGCTTAATTGACTTACAGTTCAGCATGGCTGGGGAGGCCTCACGAAACTTACAATCATAGGGGAAAGCGAGGCAAACACATCCTTTTTCACTTGGCAGCAGGAAGGAGAAGTGCCTAGTAAAGATCTCGTGAGATCTCGTGAGAACTCACTCACTATCACAAAAACAGCAAGAAGGTAACCACCCCCACAATTCAATTACCTCCCACCGGGTCCCTCCCACAACACGAGGAGATTATGGGAACCACAATTCAAGATGAGATTTGGGTGAGGACACAGTCAAACCATATCACCAACTTTCCCTAGCAAGAAGGCAAGACTAAGGCATGTTATATAATCCCCACACTGTACCTTTCACTGTCTTTAAAGAACAGTCTTGGTGATACTGCCTTCCTTTCCCAACCTTTCTTTTGCCCCAGATGTTACAGTGACTTCCTAATGAACTCTGGGGTTACTTACCTTCTTGTAATAATTACACATTTGCTATTTCTGTACAGTCATTGTCCCCAGATTGATGTTGTTATCATTCATGCTAGTCCCTGCGTGATGACCACTGGGCTGTGAGCCTGAATTTTCTTTTTTCTTTTTAAACCACTTTATTGAAGTATGACTGAGATACAAAAAGCTGTATTTAATATACATAACTTGATGACTTCGGAGATAAGCTCTTTTTCTTCTCTTTCCTTCTTTCTTTTATAGCAGTAGGCTTCAAAGAAACAATGAAAGGTCCTAAGACTGGCCTCCGGATGAATCTCTGATAGGACTTACCGAAACACGGAGACCTAGTTATCATGCAGCTTGTCTTGCGGCCATTCCTGTCCCTTTAAGGAGTTATGGTTATCAGGACAAAAAAAAAAAAAAAAAAAAAAAAAGCCAGTTAACAAACCCTTGTTTATTTTTGTGTTATCAACTTTAAGATTTCAGCATAAAATCCCAATACCTTACCCTATGTGATAAGGCCCTAAGTGCCTTCCTCCTGCCTAGCTCTCCAGCTGCATCTTGTCACTCTGCACTCCTTACTCTACTCCAGTCACACTGGCCAAGGCCTGCTGTCCCCAGATCTTGCATAACCGTCCTCACACATCTCCTCAGAGTTCACCTCCAGTCTTCATATCCCGGGCCCCACGAGCTACTGAGCACTTGAAATGTGTCTTGTCTGAACCGAGATACTGGAAGTATGAAAATATACAACGGATTTTTAATGACTTAGTTGAAATAAAAGAATGCAAAATACCTTATTAATAATTCCATATTTATTGCCTGTTGAAATATTCAACATATGTTGGGTTATTATGAAAATTAATTTGACCTGTTTGTTTTTACTTTTTTTTTGAGACAGAGTTTCACTCTTTCATCCAGGCTGGAGCGAAGTGGTGAGATCTCGGCTCGCTGCAACCTCTGCCTTCCGGGTTCAAGTTGCAATTCTCCCGCCTCAGCTTCCCAAGTAGCTGGGATGATAGGCACCCGCCGCCATGCCCGGCTAATTTTTGTATTTTAGTAGAGACAGGGTTTCGACATGTTGGCCAGGCTGGTCTCGAACTCCTGACCTCAGGTGATCACCCACCTCAGCCTCCCAAAGTGCTGGGATTACAGGCATGAGCCACCGTGCCCGGACTTCTTTTTACATTTGATGTGGCAATTGGAAAATTTTAAATTACATTCATGACTCACAGTATTTCCATTGGACAGCACAGCTCTATGGAATGACGCTTTTTTGCAGCCCTCCTGGCACTTACACTGTGGAATTTCAGCATCCCGGCTCACCTGGTCAGTAACCTTCTCACTCAAGCAGGATGTACCACAGGAACCTTGCCTGGCTAACCCACACCTGCTTCACAGGTACTCAGGCTGGGGCCTGGAGCACAGTAAGTCCTTACTAAATATCTTTTGAATGAATGACCCTACTCTTCCTCAGATGGAGACATGAATTCTGTCGGGTCCCAAAACATGTGGTCTAAAGTCCTTTGGGCTCCTTCAGCTGCCAGCACTGACCATATGCTCTTGACCCTGGCGGGGGCGGTGGGATGAGGAATCCGGATCCCACACTTGATAAAACCTCCTCCATGGACACAACTGGTCACACAACCCAGAGCTGACTCGGGCTGAGAACCCAGGCTCCCGGGCCCTCTTTCCCTTGGTGACACGTCCCTCGGTCCCTTACTGGCACTTCTCCCTCTGGCCACACGACGGCGTTTCGCGGGAGTGCAGCGGCCGATGGTACAGTCCGCTTTTCCCCCCGCGCCCTTGGACAGTGGGTCCTTCCACTTGTAGAAAAGCATTGTGGGAAGACAGCGCGATCTTTCTTCGCTTTGGTGCCATGCTGGTGTGGTTCTGTGCTGGGGCCTCCTGGATGGCGCGTGGCTGTGGCCGGGTGGCCTCCCACACTGGGGCGCCGCGCGGGGTAACGCGGCCACCCTGAGCCTGGTGAGGCGTCTGCGGCAGCTGGACCGTGTCCGAAGTGTCCCGGGCGGTGAACGCGTGGAGGGCAGCGGCCTGGCCTTGACTACGCTTCGGGGGGATCTCGGGAGCGCCTTAGGCGGCCTCAGGCCTGCGTTTTCGTTTCCGCATCCCCTTGCTTGGAAACGGGGAGCTTAATGGATTTGAGTTTAGATCATCGACGGTATGCTGTGGAATTCTTTATATAAGCGAGGTTTGATTTTCGTTAGTAAAAAGGCCTTGCCGGATAACTGCCATTATGCCTGCCCCGTCCCAGTGCAAAATAGCTTAAAAGCAGAGTGCCTGGTTACAGCTGTTTCCAAGTGCAGTACTCGGCGGGAGTGATCACCTACCCTGCGGGTGAGTTTTCACTTTGGTGCAAGACCAGTCGCCATCTAAAACGCATTGCATTTCAGTTTTCATTACTAAGTCAGGTTTTAAATTGTGAGAAAGTTTCTCCGAAATGTATTGTTCGTTTTTAGGCTGTTATCAGATTACCGTCAGCCAGTCAGCAACCTTATGCCATAAAAGCTTCACGCAGTGTCAGGTAGCCTTTGTGTTGCCCATTCACTTTGGAAACTAGTGAATGTGGTGTCAAAAAAGGCGTAAATTAAACGCTTTGCAGCCTTTTCCTGCCCTTAAATTTGATATCTTTGGTGTAGGAGCTGCATAAGTAACAGTTAATGCTTTTACGTTTACACGCGTGATCTTGACCCTGCGGGCCGTAAGCGTATGGTTTCTCTCAACCAGTTTTAATTTTTGTTCAGGTGTAAGATGGATGCCTGAAGTATAGACTGCTGCTAGCTGAATACCATCTGGGAACACAAAGGTGACCTAAAGGTAGAGTGATCTATCATAAAGCACTTTGTAGTGGGAGTTTTTATCACTTTTTAAATGGGTGCTTTCTCTAGGGAGTATTAACGTTATTGGTTCATTCGTAGTGTTGCTGTCTGTAGCTAAGGTGAAGTTAACAAATGGGATAACCTCCACAGCTTATTTTCGGGAAGGTTTTGCTGATACTTCCTGAGAAGCCCAGGGAAATAAATATTCATAGTAGTGTTATTCTCGATCTCTTAAGATTTGTTTCTGGGTGTAGTAATTGAGTTTTTAAAAAACTTGTCAAATCGCAGGCATATTAATTACCAAGTTCTTGATGAAAATGTAACACAAAAATATTTGCTATCGAATTGAGTACTTTATTTTTTCTCTTAGGATGTCCTTGGTGAGGATTTTGAAAATTTGATCTTCACAAGAGTTGCTTGGATCATTTAAAATTTCGAGGAGTCTGAGGAGTACTGCCATAATTGCCTGCTGGAGTCCGTAAATACACATTTAAGACAGTGAGGACATGAATAAATATATTAATACACTTTGAGATTTGTGTTTTAAGTGATAAACTGCCAGAAAACAGCTATTTCTAAAAAGTTACAAGGGGTGGTTCTTTTTCTGACCAGTATTCACTGCTGTCAACCATAATTAATAGCCTTAACAATAGCTTGTGTTTGGCCCAAAGAGAAATGTACACCTTCCAGTGACTGAAAAATTACGGCTAGAACTAGACTAGTGGGTTTCTAGGTCACAGGTGTGCTTTACTGCACTCAATGCATGTATTTTTTTTCTCCAACTAGATTGTACACTTAATGTTGGCATGTCTTTTGCCTTCACTTTGCAGGAAACAGTAAATAGTGTATTCAGGTATTCAAAAAATTTATTAAAAGGACTGCACTAGGAGCTGAGAACACGATGATGAGCGCAACACAGTTCTTCCCTTTGAAAACATAGGTGAATGGAGGGAATGTCATCACAAATGTAAAACTTCCACTGTGAGATGAGTTCCATGATAGGATGTTCTTAGGGAACCCTGAGAAAGCAGAGTTAAGACTAAAGTATTTGTCATTTTTTCACAAGGCAAAATTGAGGGAATGACATTTACAGAGGCTTGGGCTAGAAAAAAGATGACCATAAGTCCACTTACATCTGTGACAGTTTTGGCTGCTTTCCCTCTTCAATTGTTTTACAATTGAGTGCTTAATGAGGCTCTTAAGATGGCTATTACGGGAGGTGGGAGTGTTCCAAAATGAGGCTGAAGAGGTAGGTAAAGAAGCCAGACCACTTCAGGCTCCCTCTGGCTTTATTAAATAAAGCAGGATAAATCCATGGTGGGAAATTAGATTTGCAAGAAAAGGTAGCTGAACTAAGTTGCTTACTGTTGTCTAGGTGAGAGATGACCAGCTTGGACTAGTGAAATAAGGTGGTTTATGGTTTGATGACAGAGCCAACTAGACTTGATAATAGTGAAGGTGTCCCTAACTGCTACGTGTCAAGCTTGCACACTGATGAACATAATGACCCTAGATCCAGCTGGGGAGCAGCATTTAAACAGTTGAATTACCTTTGAGAAATACAAGTGGTCTTTTTGCAGTAGAACATTACTCTTTTGTCTAAACTACAGAAATAAACCTTAAGGCCATAGGTATAAATGAGATCTGCACAGGGTAGAGGAAGAGGGCCTAAGGTCTGAAGTTTGAGAAAGTCCACTAATAGCAAGGTAAAGCATGATGAGCTAGAAAGGATGGTCAGTGGTTAAGAACAAAGTAGGATTACATTAAAGCAGCAAAAGAATGTCCAACATTCTCCCTGGGATTAAGTGACAACAGTGGTTGAATGTAGTAGTGGGAAAGAATCTGTATTAGAGATAGCTTAAGATAGGGATTAGATGAATGAGGGCAATGACTTGGAATTTTTTCTTGCAAGAAAATTGGCTCAAGAGTGAGAGGAAAGTCATAGTTGCTAGAAGGGGATTTGTGGTTGTGAAAGATAGTTTTGTTTAATCTTAGTCTTAAATTTGAAACCAAGTAGCAAGGATCTAGTTGAGAGAATGACTGAATACATTAATATAGGAGGAGGAGAGATCCTGAAAAGGTTGGGAGAGATGGCATCTGAAGCACAGGTGGAGAGACAAAAATGTTAGGACTGTTGGCAGCTGTGGAGAGAACTGTATGTGATAAGGGGGGCATATAAGAGGTCCTGTGTAAGTATTTTCCCTGTAGATTGCAAAGTCATCTGTGGGGAGGAAAGGTCCAAAATAGTCACTGAGGAGAGCAGGTGAGTTAGATGGCCAAGCAAGGTGGATGGGCCATTTGAGGTTTTGGGTGAGAGATCAACTGAAATCCACTTAGACTTCTGAAAACACAAGACAGGAACACTTGCAAATTAACAACACGTAAAAACAAAGCTTTTTACATCGTTTGTAAATAACTGGTAGAACTTAACACCACAAAATACAGTATTACAAAGAACATTTATATGAATAAAAATATCTGCAGTCTAAAAGTGATGCCTCAGTACTTCTGAACCTGGGTGCTAGCTGAGAACCAACCCAGAGGTGGGAGGACTTCCTCCCACTTATACTATTGCACAGCAGGCTAGCTGCAGTCCAGAATTCAGAGCGTTCATCAGATGCATCTGGTCTTGGTTGTAGACACAGACACATGATACTCAGAAATGAATGACTGCCATCCTGTTCCAAAAAGGAAAATGGTTTCAATTGAATTGTTTAAAAATCCTTATTCCAGTTAAAACAAAAAGGCCCTTCAGCATAACTGTATTGTGTTAAACATGCCTATAATCCCAGCACTTTGGGAGGCCCAGGCAGGCAGATCATAAAGTCAGGAGTTTGAGAGCAGCCTGGCCAACATGGCAAAATCCTACCTCTACCAAAAACAAAAAAGAATTAGCTGGGTGTTGTGGTGCACACCTGTAATCCCAACTGCTCGGTAGGGTGAGGCAGGAGAAGCGCTGAAACCCAGGAAACAGAGATTGTGCTAAGCTGAGATAGCACCACTGCACTCTAGTCTGGGTAACAGATTGATATATCTCAAAAAAAAGGGGGGGGCGGAAGATATGTATTTTCTTATGCTGAAGAAATACTTGCAGGTCTGAGATTTGAATCAAAGTATTTCACAGTTTCAGAAGAACCAGTGGCTCACAACCTTCCCACACCATCCTTGACCTTTCATCATGATCAGGTCTCTGTCTTGAGGCGGGAAGCTTGGATAGTTTTTATTGTTTTTGCTGTGTGTTTTCCAGCCAGGTTGCTTGCAGGTGTCTGAGATTTTTCTTCCATCAGGCTATCTTTAGACCCATTTCTTCTCTAAAATAAAATATATTTGAAAAATATAGAAAGATTCAGAAGAAAACAGCCAAATGAAGTATTTTAATTACATCAGAAACCAAGCTGCTCTTAAATTTAAGATACCGAGTTGTAATTGAAAAGTTTCATAATACCAAAAGCTATCCAATAAATGTTCCCTCTGAATAGTTAATTGTGCAAAATAAAAGTATTTAATATTTGTTTAATATACAAAGTCTGACATCGACATGCATAGTGATTTCATTCATGAATATTAGGCATAATTCACTCAAATCAGTGTCATTACTTTTGCTAATAATTCCCAAACCAGGCTCTCAACCTTCCCACTTTTCCAACCAGGATAGTGATGGAGAGTTGAAGGCAATTTATAATCCCCTGATTATATTTTCAGTAAATGAATGAAACAATATCTCGGGAGCTCCTATCACTCTTGGCTCACAGGGAGAAACGGCAGCTGAGTTACCAGAGCCTGGGCACCACATCCACTACTTTGTAAAAAATAGGTCTTACACAGCTATAGGTGGAGGCTCTGAGAATGACACTAACTCACAACTGCTCCCTTTTATGCTAACCCCCCCCGCCCTTAACTCCAAAAGATGGCCTAACATTGTCAATATATCAGGCTAGCAATTATATTTCCTTCCCTAAATGTATATTCCCACAAATAATGGGCTACACTGTCCCAATCTATTTTGAGATTTGTTTGAGCTACAACAACAACAAAATCACCTTTTTAAAATGCAGTTATCTTTAATCTGTTCTATGGCTGGCTTAATTTGTTTTACTGACTTTCAAAAAACCACTAAAGGAATAACTATTCTGCCCAACATGGGATGTATGAATCAGTCTATTTGGGATGGAATATTTCTAGATAGCCAGAGGTGGGCAGAGGACACCAGTGCATATGAGAGAAGAATACAACAGAATAACCAGAAAAAGTGCTAGGAGAGGACCTGAAATAAATACTATGTTGTAAGTTTGTCTGGGATTGAATCTGTCCACGCTGCAGACCTTAAGAAATTAAGTTGCTATTCTTCCCAACTCTTAGCAGCCTTTGCATAAAAAGGCAAGGTGAGGTGTAGGGCACATCACTGCCAGAACTCTGGTGGCATTGCAGTGGAAATTAGAACTAAAAGTTGCATTAGGAAATGCAATCTTCCAGCTTCCGTTGGTCATTCCAGCCCCTTCGAGTGGCAGCCAGATGAGTAGCTTCTTTTTAGCACTTGGAATAAAACAGTAAGATCCAAACTCTTCCTGCAGCCTTTAAGGCCTTGTGTTATCCGCCTTTCCCCTCACGCTCAGTCCATGCTGGTCTTTCAGGTCCTCAAATACCCAGGCCCTCTCCAGAGTCAGCATTTCCCTCATGTTCCTCCCTCTGATTACTCAGCCTTCCACCCACTCAATGGCTGGCTCCTTCTCACCTGCCAGGTCTCAGCTTTAAATGCCACTTTCTAAGATGCCCTCTGACCACCCTAAACATGTAAAGTGAGGTCACGTTGCTGCTTCTCTAGCTCATGCCTTTGTTTCTTCATAATGCATACTCCTATTTGTTTTACCTGCTTACTTCTATGCCTACACTTCTAGGCTAGGGTCATCAAGCTTTTTTTACAAAGAGCCAGACTGTAAACTACATCCTGTCTGTGTCACTTGTTACTGTTGTTTGCTTTTAAACAACCCATAAAGGGTTTTACAACTTTAAAATGTGTAAAAACCATTTTCCGGGCTGTACAAAGACAGGCAGCAGACTAGATTTGGCCCTTAGGCCATGGTTTGCTGACCTCTCAGACCAGTGCTTGACACTCCTTAGATGGGCTCACTGGATATTTACTGAATCCAAAATCAGGTTTCCTGAAGACAGGTTTAGAATCTGCCATTGATCAGAAGATACAAGTGAGTTGTTCTTGTGTCCCGCAAAATGAAGGCTATTCTTCCAGCTTAGAATCTGTGTAAGTGTTTTAATTCCTGACTGGAAATAAAAATTACCTCTTGTATTGAAACCAACTAAAATTTAAGAAAAAAAAAAAAAAAAAAAACACTGAAAGACAACTGCTTATTAATCATCACAATGACCCTAGGAGGTAGGTTGTCTACACTATATAAATATAGAGGCTTGGAAGTTTAGCAATATTAAAGTCACACAAGTAGTACACAGAGATGAAACACAAATGATTCCAGTCAGAATGCAAAGCCTAAACTTAATTATGAATATAATTTTGAAAAAG